ATGAACCAATATTAGCACATTATTATTAACAAAAGTCTATACTTTATATAGTCTCCTCAGTTTTCTCCTTGTGTCCTCTTTCTGTTTCCAGATTCCAGCAAGAATACATATTCCATTTAGTTTGCATGTTTGTGACAGTTCCTCAGACATGCCTTGGTTTTTGATGACCTTGACGGTTTGAGTACAGGTCAGGTATTGGCGTAGATGCCCCTCAACATGGGTTTATCTGATGTTTTCCTCATTAGACTTGGCGAATGTGTTTTTGGGAAGGAAGATCCCCAGAGCAAAGGGCCCTTCTCATATCACATCAAGGGCACATACTATCAAGTGGCTTATGGCTATTTATATATTCATCCTGAGCACCTGGCTTAAGGTAGTGTTTGTCAGATATCTCCACTTGAAAAGTTATTCCACCCCCCACCCCCCCACCCGCCGCATCCTTTCCTTATTGTAATCTTTGGAAGAAAGTCACTGTGCAAAGCCCCGTGGTGAGTTATGCTTCATCTCCTTAGAAAGTGAATGGTTCCCATTCACTTTTTGTCTTAAAGCTCTGATTACAAATTATATGTCTGCTGGTTTCATTAATGATGAAATTTCTATTTCTGATTTTTGGTTTCCAGGTAATGTTTCTATAATTTTTTTTAAATTCTCACCTGAGGATATCTTTTTCCATTGATCTATAGAGAGATAATTGAAGGGAGGCAGAAGGAGAAAGAGAGACATGGGGAGAAAGAGAGAGAGAAAGAGAAAGAGAGAGAGAGAGAGAGAGAGAGAGAGAGAGAGAGAGAGAGAGAGAGAGATGTGAGAGAGACACATTAACTGGCTGCCTCCGGCATGCTCCTTGACCAGAATCGGGATGCAACCTGCAACTGAGGTACGTGCCCTTGACCAGGAAATGAACCCGTGACCCTTCCATCTGAGGGCTGACTTTCTAACCACGGAGAAAAACCGGTCAGGGCTGTTCCTATAATTGTTAACCTTACTCCTACTGACTCTTTCTTCTGCCCATAAGCCTGACTGCTCCTCCACAACTTCCTCAGTCTGTTCCTTTTCCTCTTCCTGCTCCTTCCAGGCCAGTCTTCCTCAGGGTGTGTCCTTGACCGCTTTTCTCTTCTCATTCCACACTCTCCTTAGGTAATCTCATCTACTCCAAGACTTCAGCAGCCACTTTTGCCGATGGCTCCTAAATCCATATTTCAGGTTCAGACATCTGTCTTTGTATTAGTTTCCTAGGTCTATTGTGCAAATGACCACAAAACTGACTTAAAACAACAAAATGTATTCTCTCACAGGGCTGTAAGCCGGAAGTGCTAATCATGGTGTCAGCAGGGTTGATTCCTTCCAAAGGCTCTAAGGCAGACACTGTCCCAGGCCTGTTTCATAGCTTCTGCTACTGGTCAGCCATGATTAGCCTCCTTGGCTGGTAGATGCGTCACTCCAGTCTCTGCCTCTGTCTTCGTGTGGAGTTCTCCTCTGTGTGCGTCTATGTCTTCACATGGCCTTCTCTGATAAGAACACCAATCACTGTAATCCGGTATGACCTCATCTTAATTTACCTCACCTCATCTGCAATGCCCTTATTTCCAAATAAGGTCACATTCTAAGGTTTCAGGTGGACATGAATTCTGGGGAGACACTATTCACTATTCAGCTATAATTAGATGGCTTCCAAAGATTCCCCAACATCGCCAAGCTGTTCAGGTTCTCTCCACTGTCACTTCTACCTTCAACTTGACCTTTCTCTGATGTTTCCTGTCTCAGAAATTGCACCACCGTGCATCTGGTTATCCAAGCCAGAAATCTGGGAATCAATCTTGAGTCCTCTCTCTTTCTCACCATCATATCCGACCGACCTTTGATTGAATCTTGCTAATTCTACCTCCCTAATAGTTCTGCATGCGCACACTTCTCCATCTCATTGTATCAGTTATCATAAGTATTGTCTCCAAGTAATAGGAAACCTAATGTAAACTGGCTGAGACAATAAGAAAATTATTTGGTTCACTTAACAGACAATAATGCAGTAAGGTAAGCTTCAGGCTTAGTTGATTCAGTGATGTTTCAATGAGCTGGGTTTTTTCCCATCTCTATTCTACTGACTGCAGTATTGGCTTCATTTTAAGCCTGGTTGCTTTCATGATTGTTGGATGTTTTCCAGTAGCAATCGGGGCTGTGTGATTCATTGTTCACATCTATCAGGAGTGAAAGAAAGAGTGTGGCTTCCTGTGGCTTTCTTAAGAATAAGAAAGAACTTTCTCAGTAGCCTCCAATATCTAAACTTTATGCCTTACTGACTGGAATTAACAAGTGCTAACATTTTGTAATATTAGCTTCAAATATTTTTAAAAAAGAAACCTTGCCAATAAAATTGAAGATTTCTTTGTGCTTCCTACTAGTTTTATTCCCCCTCTCCTGCTCCTCAGAAGCAGCCACTATCATGAAGTTGGTATATATGCTTCCCATCTATGCTTGCATATTTTACTACATACTTCTATAAATATGTGTAGTCACTTTGTAAAAAAGTACAGAAATAATCTACATGGAAATTGTATAAATGTACATGTACATGACATATAAATTTTGTAAATTACTTTCTTCCTTCAACATTATATTTTTGAAATCTGTCCATGTTGCTGCATATAGGTCATGTTCACTTGTTTTGTGAACTATAGAATATAGAATATGCTACAATTTGTAATATTTTTAAATGGTTTTTTTTTCTCTTTTTCTTTTACTAGTATTGACTTCAGAGAGGAAGGGAGAGGGAGAGAGATAGAAACATCAATGATGAGAGAGAATCATTGATCGGCTGCCTCCTGATGCCCCACCCTGGGGATCAACCCTGCAACCTGGGCATGTGCCCTGACTGGGAATCGAACCGTGATCTCCTGGTTCATAGGTCGATGCTCAACCACTGAGCTATGCTGGCCAGGTTACAATTTATAATCTTTATGTTTTTTATTTATCATTATTTTCTATGGTTTTCTCCCTTCACTCCTGCCTTCTGACTAAATTTTTAAATTATAATTTTCACCCCTCACTGGTTTGAAAAGTATACATTGTATTTCTAGTATTTTAAAAATTACACTTTAATCTTAAAAGTGTCTAGTTTCTCAATCCTTCCCAGTAAGATAAAGATCTTAATTCTGAACATTCATTCTCATCTTCTACATTGCTGTTTGATTCTTTATTATTTTATTTTACATTTTTAGTAATCAATATTTATTTAGATTTACTAATTTATTTATTTATTATTCCTTCTTGCATTTCACTCCTTTCTTCTGGATTTGTCTTCCTTGTTACTAAAGCAATCCTTTAATAGTTCTTTCAGCAAATTTCTATAAGTAATAAACTTTCTAAATCTTTGTATGTCTGAAAACCATTTATCTCACCCTTACTTTTGTATGCAAGTATAGCTAGAAATAAAATTCTTGATTGACAGTTATTTCTCTCAGCACTTTGATAATATTATGTCATTGTCTTTTGTGGAAACTTCATCAATAATGAGAAATCCATTATTCTGATTATTGTTCCTACATAGGTAGTCTGTTCTTTTTAGTAGCCTTTAAGATTTTCTACTTATCTTTGATGCTCTGCAGTGCCACAGCATGTGTTAAGTATGGACTTTGTTTTTTTAATTCTATTCAGGCCATATACTTCATTAGTTGGCAAACACATATTTTTCTTCAGTTCAGGAAACTTCACCAATACCTGTTTTTGTAACTGCCTCTCTCTTCCACTATTGTTATTCTCCACCCCCCCCCCCCCCGCTTCTATTTGGAGCTTCTCATTCTATATATCAAGGCTTTTGGTTTCCCTTATTTTCTATCTCCTTATCTTCTTGGACCACATTTTAAATTATTTTCTCATATTTGTCTTCCCCTTAATGAATTCATTCTATAGCAGGATCTAGTTAACAGGTGAATCAATGGATTAAATTCTGTTTTAAAAATCCAAGGGTCTACCAGTTTTTAATTTCTATAATTTCTATTTGAGTGTTCTATAAACCTATCTTCCCTCCATATTATCTCACTTATCATATAGATTCTATTTCTTCCTTTATGTTTGAACACTTTAAACATATTTAAGTTAGTTTTTACATTTTATGAGTTGAAACATTTTTTCATATTGTCCTTTTATCTGTAAACCTGGGGTTATATTGAACTCATTGCATCTGCCATCTCTCTCCATTACGAACTTTGCTTCTTTATTTATTTGTTTCTTCAGGCAGCAGGGTCTTGCTCATTTTCCAGGCTCTGGAGGAATTCTTATAGGGGCTTTTGTGTTTCTCTATGCTAATACTCTATGAGTTTCACTACTTCCAGACAATTTTTGCGAATATCTTGGACTAGGGCAGTGGTCGGCAAACTCATTAGTCAACAGAGCCAAATATCAACAGTACAACGATTGAAATTTCTTTTGAGAGCCAAACTTTTTTAACTTAAACTATATAGGTAGGTACATTGTTATTAACTTAATTAGGGTACTCCTAAGGCTTAGGAAGAGCCACACTCAAGGGGCCAAAGAGCCGCATGTGGCTCGCAAGCCGCAGTTTGCCGACCAGGGGTAGGGTTCTCAAGCAGCAAGTCTAGCGCTGTGATTAGCGCAGTGTTAGAGTTCTGATTTTTCCACCCACAGACTCCAGGCAGACACTGAGCTCTCTTGCTCTGCCCCATAGCCCAATAGTGCAGTTTTTCTAGAACCTGTTTTATCTACAAGGCAGCCTATTTGTTCTTGGCTTTGAGCAGGAAATCTGGTCCGAGATCATTGGCCTGCGGTCACATCTCCCATCCCCAGAGGGGCATTAAATTCCTGATTCTGATACCCTGAAGGACTCCGGGCTTCAGTTTGTGATAAATGAGGTCTGAGTGTGTTCTGTGACTCATCATGAGGGACCGATCAAGAGTTTTTAAAATCTTTTTATTGGAACCTTACAGACTTGTAGGAAAGTGCACAGACCATGAGTGAACGGTCTTGTACGCTTTTATAAGTGCACATACTTGTGTAACTGCCACACAGATGAAGATGTAGAACGTACTGGCAGCCCCTGGGGGAGCTTCCTCGTAGCCTCTTCTCTGAAAGGTAGCTGCTATTCCAGTTTCTAGCGGCATTAGATTCATTTTGACCATATTGTGCTTTAGATACATGGAATCATATGGTCTATATTCTTCAGTGTCTGGCTTCTTTCTTTCATCAGTTTTTTTGTGTGTGAGATTCTCCCAGGTCACTGTGTGTATGTGTAGTTCGTTCATTCGTATTGCTGCATGGCCTTCTATTCTTTGATGATACCATAGATTTTTAGTTCATTATTGTGTTGATAGACACTTAGGTAGTTCCTACTTTGGAGCTATTAAAAATAGTATGGTTACCGAAACCGGTTTGGCTCAGTGGATAGAGCGTCAGCCTGCGGACTGAAAGGTCCCAGGTTCGATTCTGGTCAAGGGCATGTACCTTGGTTGTGGGCACATTCCCAGTAGGAGATGTGCAGGAGGCAGCTGATCAATGTTTCTAACTCTCTATAGCTCTCCCTTCCTCTCTGTAAAAAATCAATAAAATATATTTTTAAAAAAATAGTATTGTTACAAACTTATATATGCTTTTGGTTATGCTATGTAAGCATTTTGAAGGAAATGTACCCAGGGGAGGAATTGCAGGGTCATACCCATGCTCAGTGTTAGCAGACATTGTCAAACAATTTTCCAAAGCAGTCCCAAGTTACCAACAGTGTGGGGCACTTTGCATGTTCGTGGGCATATATTAGAGGATTTAGAGCAGTACTTGTCCCTCAGCTACATGAGCTCGAGAATTATTACTGTTCTTTTTCAAGGAGGATAAATCAAGATGGATGCATGTCTCTTGATTTGTGTCTTCTATACTTCATGATACATAACAACCAAGTATTTAAACATCACTGAAGTTTTTTTTAAAGCTTTTACCATGTGCCAGGTGCTGTTCTAAGAGGCCATGTCACCCTCACTACAGCCCTCTTAGGCAGGTATTCTTATTGTTTCATGTTTCAGGTGAGGCAGCTGCAACCCAGACAGATGACATAACTGGCCCAGGGCCCCAAAGGCTGAAGCAGCAGCCTGACCCGGAAGCCTGGCTTTCACGCTGCCCTGCAGATATGCTCCTGGATTCCCGTTCCAGAGTGTTTGCTCAGCCTTTTTCAAAAACCTCTTTTGCAGCCTTCCGAAAGATCGAAAATACACAGCCATATATTGCTGGAAATGCCTACCTGGGCCAGTTGAAATTTGTGCCTTTGTATTAGTGGAAAAAACAAGTGAGCAGCCACCTTGAAGAAGTCGGCTCCCACACGTCTTGTTTCTGTTGGGTGTGCGGGGAGTTACACTGGCTCAGTGCTGGCACATAGTGGCATCTCAGTAACATTGGCTGAGCAGAATGAAAGAAAAATTCACATTTGTACTGTTGGCCCTGGGATCTTTGGAGCAGCAGCTCCTGGCCTCCCATCTCTGACCACCAGGGGGCACATGTCTGTCCCTAGAGCACCCTGATTCCTAGTCTCCCAAAGCCAGTTCCCTGGGGACAGTTCCGTGGGTCCCAGGGAAGGGAGGGGCTCTGCCAGAAAATTCTGGATTTAGAAAAATGATACAAGAGAGTCGGGGTTTGTAGGGTGTGGCCTAAGAACAACCAAATCATAATCACCTCGAGTTCGTGGTTAAAATGAAGGCTCCTGCTTGTTCACCCCAGACCTATAGAATCGGGCTTTTGGAGGGTAGGGCTGGGGCCTGCATATTGAACAAAGTTGCAAGGCGATTTTTTATGCACATGACTCTGTAATCAGACTACCTGTATTCAAATATTGGCTTTTTTAACTAGGTGACCTTGAGCAAGTCAATCAACCTAAGACTCAATATAACCATAATATGGGATCATAAAAACACACCTAACTCTTAGAGTTGCCATCAACAATAAATGAAATCTAACATTAGATTCATTTTTTACCATGTTGTACTTTATACACATGGAATCCATGTGGAGATTTTAGCATGATGCCTGGCGGTATCTTAGCACTTATAAAGCTTAGATTATTATTATTATTAAATAATCTTAGGAGGCTAGTGTGACGAGGGAACAAGAGTACAATGTATGAGAACTGGAAGGAGATTGGGGAATAGGATTCCAGTCTAGGCTTTCTACCCTCACCAGCTGTGTGTCCTTAGACAAGTCACTTAACTTCTCTGAGCCTCAGTTTCTACACATCTACAATGAGGGAGTGGGATTAACTGGTGTATGAGATCCTTTCAATGTTGGTGTTTTATGAAAACTTAACAGGGTTTGAAGATCCTCCTAAACACACACACACACACATACACACACACACACACACACACACACTATCCCTACAGCCCTGTGTGATTCCTATGTGGTTCCTCCAGTCCCTGGGTGATTGACTGTATGGCATAGTTTTACGTTGCTAATTCTCTTCTCTGCGTATGGTGAAGAAGACAGGGCCCATGTCTTCTTTATCCCAGGCAGGGCCTCAGAGCCTGGCATACTGCCTACCACATGCTTCCTGTGCAATAAATACCATTTATATGGAAAAGTAGAAATATAAAGTGTGACACAGCAGCCGGAAGACCATCACAGCTGGGGAGAGTTTTAAATTCCTCGCCTTTGCGGGCCCAGGTCCTGGCGTGGATCTGTTATGAGAGTCTTCCGTGCGCGCTTAGGGCAGGGCCGGCCGAGGCCGGGCCGTTTGGGAGGTAGAGGTGTGCGGCCCGCAGAGGGCGAGGCAGCCCCTGGTGGTGATGCCGGAGCTGAGCCCCGGCTCCATTCTGGGTGTCTCGACACAGGCGACTTTCTTATAGCCCGTCTAAATCTCGCTCCAAGTCACTACCAAGGCGGTCTACCTCAGCAAGGCAGCCAAGAACTCCAAGACGGAATTCTGGTTCTAGAGGACGGTCAAGGTCCAAGTCCTTAGAAAAAAGATCAAAATCAATAGGAAAATCACAATCAAGTTCACCTCAAAAGCAGACTAGCTCAGGAACAAAATCAAGATCACATGGAAGACATTCTGCCTCCATAGCAAGATCCCCATGGAATTCTCCTAAAGGGCATACCAATTCTGAAACAAAAGCACAAACAGCAAAACACCCTCATTTTCGATCACATTCCAGATCTCGGAGTTATCGTCATAAAAACAGTTGGTGAACAACAAGAGAAGAGTGCTAGCTAGTCTTTAATCTAAGTTATTAAACCTCTCATTATGTTAAATAAAAATTCTTCAAGGCTTAAAAAAATAAATAAAGTGTGACACAAATGTGAGGAATTGGAATAATTTTTATTCCTAGTTGCTCTGCGGAGAGAGAAGAGGGTTAGGCCAGGAGTGCCAGGAGGAGCCTGGAGGCCTGAGGTGGACGTGCTGGGAGAATTGGGTGGACAGAGAACTGGGTGTGGGGTGAAAGGAAGAACAGGCTGGAGTGGGAAGCTTACAATGTGGTTCACCTCCCAGGCTCCTCCTGCAGCTGACCTCCTTTTTGTTGTTGTTATTGTTGATTTGGTTTTCTGTGGGAAGCAGAAACGAGGTCAGTGTCCAGCACAGTAACCTGCACGTGGTAGACCTTCCGATATTTAACTGGGAATCATGATGGCATGTGAGAGCTGAAAGGAAACAGAGGTTGGAGGCAGTCCTCTCATTTTCACAACAAAGCAGCAAACTATGAGCCCGAAAGGCGGTCCCTTGTTCAAGACGACACATTAGGTTGCCGTGGAGAGAGGAATGTGGGTCTGTGAGCTTCCACCCGAGGGCCCTGTTTCCTCGGACACTTTTGGGTGAACAATGAGTGCGCACACGTGAGACTGTTCCTGAACTCGTGGTCATGTCCTCACGGTCTTCTGGTCTGTCCAACTCTGTGTGCCCAGCTGCCTCCTGCATGCCTCCACCTGGATGTCCCCCAGGCGTTTGGAATGCAGAGAGCTAAAACCAAGCTCATCACCTTCGTCCGGAGTCTTCCACCTCCCTTTTGGTTTTTCCTCTCAGTAGGTGGTGCCACTGTTCATTATTCCATTGATCAGATTAGACGTCTGGGTGCCAGTCTTGACTCCGGCTTCTCTCTCACCCAACATCACCAAGGCCTGACAATCCCACCTCTTGTTCTCATCCCTGTCCCCACTACTGAGGTTTCAGTCCAGGGCCCCATCATTTCCAGGCACCGTACAAACTCCTAAGTAGTCTCACTACTCTCCACTCAATCTCCAGTCCCCAGCAGCTCAAAGCGTCACCTGCAGGCTGTCTGTGAAACGTGAACTCGGTCAAATATTTTTGAGGTGCTGAGCTCAGTACTAAGTGATGAACACAACGGACAGGGTCCCAGAGATGAACTGACAAGGTCGATATAAACAAATAGATCAGTGGTCCTCAGCCTTCCTCATGCCGCGACCCTTTAATACAGTTCCTCATGTTGTGGTGACCCCCAATTTCATTGTTACAAATTGAACATAATTAAAGCATAGTGATTAATCACAAAAACAATATGTAATTATATATGTGTTTTCCGATGGTCTTAGGCGACCCCTGTGAAAGGGTCGTTCGACCCCCAAAGGGGTCGTGACCCACAGGTCGAGAACCGCTGAAATAGATGGATAATCAGGCAAGTGCTAGGATGGGGAAGTCTGGAGTGAGATAAGAGCATAGCCAAAAGACAGCTACGAACTTAGTGTGTTGAATGAGTAAATGTGAGTAAATGAATGCTTCTAATCCTGCGAGGTTCCAATACTGCTTACTCCCTTGTATCTTGTGGGCTATATGCATGCTGCATATTGTGAAAGTATCCGTGTCCATATATGTTTCTGTTGGGACTGGATTCAGCTGTGAGTAACAGCTAACCAAAATAACAGATAGAAGTTTATGTTTGCTCTAACTTCAAGACTGGACTGATGTGGTCCAGGGCTGGTGTTGTGGGTTTGTTTGTTTTGTGTTAATCCTCACCTGAGGATATTTTTCCATTGCTTTTAGAGAGGGTGGGAGGGAGGGAGGGAGACAGGGAAAGAGAATGAGAGAGAAATATCCATGTGAGGGAGACACATCAATTGGTTGCCTCCCACATGCGCCCCAACCAGGATCAGGGATCAAACCTGTAACCCAGATACATGCCCTTGGCTGGGAATC